TGCTTTCACTTAAGTCTTCGTAGTTTTACATAAAAGTTATTGTCATTATGTTTAACATCATCTACTTCTTCCTTTTCTTCACCTTCTATTTTTTTAAACAAATAGATTATATAAGATATTTTCTTTGCTAATTTAGAATTGTTGTTAGGATCTTTAAGGATAAGTTATTTTTGGTTATTAATTATAGTCGAAATTTATATATACATAGATAAAAACTCTATAATCGTTTAAAGTAGTATAAAATTGACCAGGAGGAACATTAACACAGAATTGTATGAATTAGTTACTTTTTGTTTGTAAAATTTTGTGAATTTTATTTTTTAGTCTCTATAATTAAAAATATTTTATTTTAGTTTTTGTGTATATTTTTTTTGTTTTATAAACTTTATCTTTTAATGCTCTGTTGATCTTTAGGCAAGAGTGGCTTTGTATCAGTGTTTGAATTACATCTTTTCCGTTACTTTTTTAACTACAAACCTTAGCTGATAAGGAGATAATCAATTCTATCCATTATTGCTTTCGTGCTGCCAAAAAGTTACAATGTGTACTCGGTTCAAGTATTAAAGTGATATCACATTCACACATATGCTTAAACAATAATTTTTGGTTTGACATACCATCAATATGTTACTTAATTCCTTGTTACATATCTTCTTGGTAGAATTAAAGAACCAAATACATTGAAAACACAAGGCAATCATAGTCCAAAATCAAGAATCTTCTTGGTTTCTTTGAATCTTATTGTACACTGATGGTGAGTTAAGGAAGTTGGATTCTTGCTAAGTCTTCCCCCATCATTTTTTGGTTTCTTCTTTCTTTCTGAGTTTGTGTTTTTGTTTTTTCTCTAAAAAGTTTGGACTGCTACATGACAAAGAGGGAAGAAGAGAGGATTGAGTTATATATATGTCAAGGATTTTTGAACGTAACGACCACCGACGAGTTTTTTTTTTGTTTGTTCTTGGAGTATCTACCACCGGCAGCAGTGACTAATCTCCTCGCTACGTTGGAGGCACCTCAAAGGGTGGGATAGCTGGCCCCAAGATTTAACGCGGCTGCATACACAAGGCAGGATTCGAACCCCTGACCTTGCTTAAGCATGGATCAACCCCTACCGTTGAACCACCAACGAGTTTTAAAGGGGTGATTTTATTAAAACTATACATTTTATTATTTTCTATAACATTATTTATTATATTTATAGTTTTTATGTTCTTTTTTTTCTTTAGCTATTAACTAATACGTGATGCTCGTGTATCGTTTTTCGTTTCAAAACTAATTTTTACTTATTGAATATAATTAAAGATGTGTGTTGAATATAACTAATTTTGAAAATAAAACTTATAAAAGAGAAAAAAAATATTTTTTATAAGTTAAAATTAACTTAAATATAAGTTAAAAATAGACTTAAATATATTTTTAATTCATATAAAATAAATATATTTTAATTTTAGTCTCTATAAAAAAAATAGAGTTACATACTAAAATGCTAACTCAAAGATATATTTTCTTTCTTTCTCTTACATATACACACACAAATGCTAAGTAACTTACAAAATAGGGTTGCTTATAAAGCGACTCTCTTTAATTTTAAGCAACCTAATAACACATGTGACATACTAAAATGTTATTTAGTTATTAAACAATTTTTGTGGGAGCACTTTTTGTTAAATACATCTCCATTAATTAATAATCGGTGTCCCTTACCCTTTTTCTTTATTATTCCTTAAATATGTTTTTTTGAAAGCATTTTTTGAAAGTATTTTTAGCACTCACCTTGAACTCAAAGTGAAGTGAAAATATATACATTTAGAAAGTACTTTCTAAAAGACAAATCATACTTTCAAAAAGTATTTCTTGAAAGACAAAAATATATTTCTAAAAAGTATTTTATAGAATAAAAATATCTTTATTCTTTTATAAAAATTTTACTCTTGTAAAAAGGAATGAAGAGTGAAAATATGTTTTCAGAAAGTATTTTTTGGAAGAGTATAAATATTTCTCTTCTAAAAAATACCTTCCCGAAACATATTTTAAGAATTATAAAACACAATTTCAACTTGATAATAATAAAAATTAAGTTATTTTAATTAATAATTTATCATAAAATCAACAAGTCATATCTTTAGAAACAACATCTTAAAAAATATTCACATCTTTATATCAAATTTATGCAATATTAAAAATAAGATAAAAAATCATGATTTAAAAGTTATTAAAGATAAGAGTGAAAGAAAAAAAAGATTAAGCATAATAAAAATTTGGAAGTAATTGTCTTGATTGCTCTAAAGAAAATATAAAAAAAAAAGTTAAAAAAAAAAAAGAAAAGACAAAGACATGTAAAGAGTGAATAAAGAGAGATAAAATAGCATAAGAAAAATAGAGGAAGAAAGATGAATTAAGAATATATTTTTAGAGATAAAATAAATTAAAGGAATATTTAAGAAAAAAAGAGAGGAAGAAAGATGAATTAAGAATATATTTTTAGAGATAAAATTTATTTAAAAATAAAATAAATTAAAGGAATATTTAAGAAAAAAAATTGTATATATTAAAAAGGAGGTGTGTATATAGCAACTGGCCCATTAGAGATGCTTTTAGAGCTGGATATACAAACATGTGCACCACGTAACCAGCATGCTAACAGGCCTAGCCATTACTCACAAGACTAGAAACAAAAACAAAAAAACTGTCAATGTCCAAATCTCTTCAAGCAATTCATACCTCTTTTACGTGAACATAAAATAAATTGTTAAAGAGATACTTTCATGATCATCTTCATATTGAGTCCAAATACAATATTATTTTTATACAAAAAATGAAATGAAAATTCAAAATATTACCCTCATTCCTTAGTTTTTTATAATTAAAAAAACAAAAACTGTTGGCCAAACTATTTGGCCCACCCCATCCCATTACAAGCCAGTTTTTGGTTGGACCTTGGTATGTTAAATAATAAATACCTTATATCAAGCTCACCTCACTCACTAGACAAGGTTACAGCTCAAAGTGAAACACATTCGTTAGTTATATCTAATTTTTTTGGTGAGGTTACCTACATCTATAATAATTTGGTCAATTTTCTTTTTCATATTGTTTTCTTCTACTTGTCTTTTGTGCCTTTTTTAAGTGTTTTTTTTAATAAATATAAATTATTCAATATTATTTTCCTTTTAATCTTTACAATTTTTCTAATAACTCTCCTTACTATTAAATAATAATATAATGTATAAATAATTATGCTATATCCATAAAATTGTGAGATAACTCTATTATTTATATGTCATATTATCATCACTCTTTACAAGATTAACAAAATTTGATAATTATTAAAATGTCAATGATTTGAAAGTTAAAATGTTTTGTCATGCATTGTCATCTAACATAATTTTGGCATCATTGGATGACAAAAATAATACACGACATAGAAAATGAATTAAATACAAACTTTCATATTTTCATATATACCACAAACTTTCATATTTTTGTATATACTAAATTAAAACTATCTAACAAGTGTTGGTATGTTACAAGTATAAGAACTAAAACATAAAATATAATGTTAGTATAATGTCATCATTTATTAACACGTTAATTTTTTTAAGATTAAAATATTTTTCTAGTTTTTATAGTTTAATTTATTTTATTTTTTAGCCTTCATAGCTTAAAGTATATTTTTTAGTTTTTATACTTATAATTTTAATCTCTTTATAACATTGTTTTCGTGTGTATGACATATATTTTAAATTCATGTGGTGATGATGTATTTCATTTTTTGAATGACGATATGTTACTTAATGATTTATTTTGCGGTCTTCAACAATTTGATCATTCATCAAAATCAATTTAGTCATAAAAATATCATTGCTAATGTGAATTTAATAAACCTTAATCATCCACATATATAAACAACATTTCAAAGAAATCAATGTCAAAAATGAAAAAAATGAAAAAAATTTAAGTATAAAAATAAAAAAAATATTTTTAATGGTGATGTCAGTAAAATTATAAGAATTTAAAAAATGTATTTAAATATTTTTCTGCAATAAAGAAAAAAGAAGAATTAATTGTGTGCGTGCTAAAAATGATTTTGAAGTGTCAGAAATAAGAAGTAAAATTTGTCTTTCTAATTATAAGACTTTTTAAAAAAAACTAAATTACACTCTTTAAAGATGGGATTCAAAAATGTTATTTGTGTTTTTAACTCCACTCGTATTCTGAGGTTACTGTGGTATCTATCTAGTTGCTAATCATAGATATGTAACTATTATCTAGATTATTAGAGAGTACATGGGTAAAACTTTGTACTTACAATTGGTATTAGTTGTGAGAGTTAGATGTTTCCCAGTAGAATTACATTTTCAACTCTTAGTTGATACGAGTGGTATCCTGTATCCCTTCATTGAGGGTGTAATTTTTCTTTTCTTTTGGTTTGTTATCTTCCATTACCAAAAAAATAATAAAATTATACTTTTTTAAAAAATTAGTTTAAAATATTAAATTTATCAATAATTTAAATTATTTTTTCAAATTTAATATTATCTCTTTCTTCTTAATCATTTTATCACTTAAATTTAATATTAAAAAATATTGATGTATTTATTTATCTCCTTTAATCATAATAAAAGAAGCAAAACTTTTATTTAATTAATTTTAAACATTTATTAATTTTTGTTTAAAATAAATATTAATTAAATAAAAGTATTTTAAGGAAGATATAATTAACGTAACTGATAATTAAAAGATAATAGTTTTATAAATAATGAAAAACAAAAATGTGAAGAAAAAAAAATATAGTATAGACCTATATGGGAAATTAATTAGTAAATGGAAAGAAAAACATGGATGTATATTGTAATTGGACTGAAATAGGGGCAGATTCAAACCGGCCTACATGACAAAATATAAACATCATTGACCATAAAATCCAATGAACGAAGAAAAAAATATATACTAGACAATTATTTTATTTATTATTATTTTTTGTTACGGTAGTTTTTCACTTTTTTTTTTGTCCCTTGAGAAAAAGCTTGGCTTTTTCGCAACGTTGGGTTTCGTTGGAATTGCAAATTTTGCAGCGTCCACTCACTCTTTCTCTTTCGGATTCTCACTGAATATTTATGGAATGGAGGTAGCAGTGACTGCACCCAATCCCAATCGAAATTCTCAGAATCTGTACTCAATTTCTGTCTTCCCATTTTGACCTCGTTTTCGCGCTTCTTCCTTCACCATGAGAATCGCTTCCTTTCCTCCTCCTTCTTCCGCCTCCGGTTGGTCGCGTTTCTGTTCGTCGGCGCTCCGATCCAAGCGTCTCGTATCTCCGGCGGAGAAGGCCGCGCGCGAAAACTCCGACCTCGGCCTCTCCCGCCGCCTCGGCGTCTTTGACCTTGTGCTCCTCGGAATTGGCGCCTCCATCGGCGCCGGCATCTTCGTCGTCACCGGCACCGTCGCTCACGACGCCGGACCCGGTATGTCTCTAATTTTGTTTCAAGTGTCTTTATTTTTAGGGAATAAATTAGTGGCTTAAGTTACTTTAATCTTAGAAGTTATAAATGAAATTAATGATAGTCATTTTAGTAGCTGAAATTATAAATTGAAGAAAAAAAAAATAGAACAACTTGTCTTATTAGTGAAAATATAATTTTGTAAATTTTAGGATTGAAGAAACCATTTAATGCTTTTAACAGTTTTTATTTTTATTTTTTATTTTGGATAAAGCTCGGATGTAGTAGTTTTTTTTTTTTTTTGTTGTTGTAAAAAAGAGTTTTTTTATGGTGTTCTTCAATCAAAATTAGTTTTATTTTAAAAGTCTACATTACTGATGTAGAACTCTCTGATTATGATAGGAGAACAACATAAAAAAAATAGTTAAGAAACCGAATATAAATTTGTTCTTTTATTTGCTGGGTTTGTTTGAGGTGCTGTTACTTGGGTAAGGGAGGTGGAGAGGATTGAACATCATGTAGGAAGCACCACATGGACATGAATGATGTATTGCACACACGCATGGATAGTAATAAAGCTCTTAAGGGAATAACACTGAGAAAGGGATATTGTTCAATTAGAAACTGAACCTAAGCTCCATACAAGGTCATCAGAGCATATGCTAATAGAGCTCTCAACCTATGGGTCTACATTCTGATCTGGTATTCTATCAGATGCCACAAATTTTAAAAGTTATAAGAATTAGGACACAACATATAAAATTAATATCAAATTAAGAAAAGACACAAACAAATCCTTAATTAAAATGGAATAGAGATATCATGTTTCAAAAGTTTGAATTAGTTATTGCTGGCATGTAAAATACCATGAATTTGATTAGAATCCAAAAAAAATAAATAAAGGATTTTTAAAATGTCTTTTAATCATAGATTGTTGAATTTTCTAATAATTATTTTAAAAGTTATATATTACTAAAGGGTTGACAGTGTAAAAATCTTTACATAAAATTGAACTCGAATACTATCAGCTGTACAATGCTTGATATGTAATGGTTATTTGCAGTTACTGTTATTCCAAACTTGGTAACTTATTCATGGTTTGTTTCTGGGATGCAGGAGTAACCATTAGTTTTATACTTGCGGGGGCGTCATGTGTTATAAATGCACTCTGTTATGCTGAGCTGGCTTCTAGATTTCCTGCTGTTGTCGGAGGAGCATATCTATATACATACACAGCGTTTAATGAACTTACGGCTTTTCTTGTTTTTGCACAATTAATGCTTGACTATCACATTGGGGCAGCTAGCATAGCAAGAAGCCTAGCAAGTTATCTGATAAATATTCTTGAACTCTTTCCTGTTTTCAAAGATAACATTCCAAAATGGATTGGTCATGGGGAAAACATAGGCGACGTGCTATCCATCAATATCTTAGCTCCAATTCTGCTAATAATTCTCACTTTAATTCTCTGTCAGGGTGTTCAAGAATCATCAGTTGTGAATTGTCTTATGACGGTGACCAAGGTTCCTTTCCATCTTAAAAATTTGCACAATATAGTATAAAGTATCGTATTAATGCTACAGTTTATCTGAGAAAGAATCACAAGTTATTTTACTTTTTGTTGCAGGTAGTCATTGTTATCATTGTCATTTTTGCCGGAGCATTTAAGGTTGACACGTCCAACTGGTCTCCCTTTGTTCCAAATGGTTTAAAATCCATATTTACAGGAGCTACCGTAGTCTTCTTTGCATATGTTGGATTTGATGCAGTTGCCAATTCTGCCGAAGAATCTAAGAGGCCTCAGGTATGTAATGTTAAGATTGCTCCCATGGTTTATGAATTTGCCAGATGCCATATCTTTTATCTGATGTATCTGGTAACAGATAGTTACATTGTAAGTAAAATAGAGACTATTTAATATATGCATCTGTTGTCTGATGCCATAGTCTATCGTGGGTGCTTTGCCATTAATTATGTTGGAAGTAAATAGTGACTATTTAGATTTAGTTGTAGTTACTATCATAATCATACTTTGTTTGGATAATTATCTCCTTAAACATTTATAGGAGAAAAAAAAAGATAAAATAAAATAAATTTCTCCTATAAGTTAAAATTAACTTGTGCGTCTCAGCTTTTGGATAATTTAAATGAGGAAACTTATATAGAAGTTGAAATACAAGTTGATTTTAAATTTTTATGGTTTAATTAATCATTTCTTTCTCCAACTTATTATTTTAGTCCTTACACCTAAAAAACTTATGGACTAAATAAAATGTAGAGATTTTAGGTATAAGAACTCAAACAAAAAGTTGACCGAAGTATAAAGATTAAATGATAATTTAATCAATTTTTAACTTGTGGAAAAAATTTAAATCATTATACTTTTTTTGTCTTAGTGTTTACGAAGATGCTCATCCAAATAGGGTCGTAGTTATTAATTAACTTCAGTTTTTTTTAACCCGTTTATCTGCTTAGCTGAGTATTAGAAACTATCTCACAATAATATATTCATGCTTTCAATTCTAAGTTTTTCTCCTCCTTCTGTTCTCAAGATTTACGAAGATGCTTTCTTTTTTGTCTCTGACATTTCAGCGGGATTTGCCAATAGGCATAATAGGAAGCCTCTTAGTATGTATTGCATTGTACATTGGAGTATGCTTGGTGATTACTGGAATGGTTCCATACCAGTTACTAGGAGAAGAAGCTCCTTTGGCTGAAGCTTTTACATCTAAGGGTTTAAAGTTTGTTTCTATTCTGATTAGTGTTGGTGCCGTTGCTGGACTTACAACAACACTCCTTGTTGGTCTTTACGTTCAGGTAAATCCCTTCTGAATTATGACATGATTGATGTGCCTTGTGACATGTGCTAATGTACATGATGGGATGTTTCTGATAAGCAGTCTCGACTATATCTTGGGCTCGGAAGGGATGGTCTACTACCCTCAATATTTGCTAAAGTCCACTCCAAATGTCACACCCCTATTCATTCTCAGGTCTGGGTTGGCTTGATTGCCAGTGTTTTGGCTGGGCTATTGAATGTGCATGTGCTCTCTCACATTCTTTCCGTTGGTACACTGGTAAGAGTTGACTTCTAATCTGTTGGTAGTGGACTTGCCAACAAAATGCATATATCTATCTTATTTGTATTAACATAGTATGTTTGAGTGTTCTTTGATTGACATGAAATATGTGCGCAACTTAGGAAAGGTGGGAGATTTCTTGCTAAGTGGGTGTTGAATACATTAATATAATATTACTAAGTTTTTTAGTATCTGTTCAGATAATGTGCATCATATTTTCCATTTAAGGAATAATAATACCACATGGTGCGCCTTGACAAAAGTATACTTTCTGATTGATTAGTGTTTAAATATTCTTAACTACTGCCTCTCACATGATATGTTCACTTATTTCAGACTGGCTATTCGGTTGTCTCAGCGTGTGTTATTGTACTTCGCTGGAAGGATAAGACAAATAGTCATGTATCATCTTCTGCTGAGCGGGAAGGTGTAATTTGCCTCGTTACTGTTGCTGTTTCTGGATTTGCTATGGGGGTCTTATACCGTTACGATGCTTCATATTTTTTTCTGATTCTGCCTTTAGTTATCGCAGCTGGTGCTTCTGCTGCTCTTGTTTTCCGCCAGGTGAGGTTATATTTTATTAAGATTATGTTTGAATAAATTTCTCAAAAAATATTTTTCTTCCTACGAGTTAAAGTTAAAATCTGTAAGTAGAGAGTTTTTATAAATTAATTTATATTTAAGTTAATTTTAACTTGTGAAAGAAACCTAATTCATTTTACCTTACTTTCTTCTCTTATAAGTACTTATTGAAAAATGGATCTAAATAAGGCCTAATTGCATGTTGTCTGGGCTATGTCAAAAGGCTTTGGTTACAAAATATGTTAATAATATACATGGATTAAAAAGGTGGTTGTATCATTAGGAGGTAAAAAAATCAAAGTCATTGAGAGAATTTTAATTGAATCTCGTCATTAGTGGAGAGAGTAACCTGAAATTGTTTGTTGCCTTCTTTTCCTGGATCATACAACAAAATGAAGAACACAATGATGGTTGTATGTGTCAAATACACGAAACGGAAAGGCAATCTGAAGGTCAACAACTCTGCTCCCCGCACTTCATCCCAGATCACATTAAAACTTGTGAAATTGATGAGCTTGCTGCATTTTGATGTTAATGTTAATTTCTTTCACTGACACCATTCTGCCGTGTCATTTTGCTTTCTAGGTTTATGCAGATGCACCAGGGTTTTCTTGTCCGTGGGTTCCCCTTCTGCCAATTATTTGCATCTTCTTTAACATGTTCTTATTTGCCCAGGTATGCCCATGATCTCTCCCTTTAAAATTTGGCCAAAATAAAACCTTTTTTTTTTTTGAAAAGTTATAGTTGATTATTTAGACATCCAAACTGACAAATAACGTTGAACTTGTGTTGACAGTTACATCATGAAGCATGGGTGAGATTTGTGGTTCTCTCTGTTGTCATGGTTGGTGTTTATGCAATATATGGCCAGTATCATGCTAACCCCGGTGCAGACGATATTATCTATCACGAGGCACCAGAGGAAGAAGCACTATGAGTTATCTGTTCAATATTATGCAATGTATTTTTATTTTTGGCCTGATTAAAATGTATGTAGTTAATCGGTTTTTTTTAAGAGTAATTTAGCTATTGTTCGATCTTCTAGGAAATTAGGAATGTCCATTTTGTATGAATAATTATCTGACTGTTCTTGTTACTATATTGTATATGACAGTCAGCTAGAATTTATATGGTGTATCTCGTTTGTTACTTCACAAAAAAGGAAAATCTAAGTGTATCTTGTGCGAATTTCGTGTCATGCTTTTGGATATATTCAGGCTTACCGTTTGTATTTTTTTTTTTCCCCAAAAAGAGGCTCCCTTAAAAAAGTAAATTTGTGACAATAATATTGGATATTTTTGTGTGCACTTTGTGATTGATAAAGAGAAAAGAAATAGGGGAGAAATAAAGTGGAGAGAAATAAAAAAAATAAGTAAAAATAGGTTAAAAATAGAATAAAAATTTAGTTATTTGCTTAAAAAAATTTAAGTAATATATATATATATATATATATTTATAAGTATATATAAGAGGAGAAATAAATAAATAAATAAAAGATTCTTCACTTTTTAATTTCTCACTCTTATTTTTTTTTTCAACTAAATAATCTCATTTATTTTAACTCTCCTATTTCAACTCTTTCAACTTTATTTTTTATTCATTTTTCTTTAACTAAACAAGGCATGCTAATTGAAGGTGAGTTTCTTTTAAAGTGTGGAATTATCAATATATTTTAAAATTAAACAAATTCTAAAATTAATCAAATATTTTATATTTGATAATTAACATATCAAGAAAATGAAAAAAAAAAATTAGACTGATAAAAATCATTATATTATGAATGAGATTAATCTTTAATCCAGTAATTCAATAATAATAAAACAAAAAAAGGCATTTGTTTTAGTTAAAAGTTAACGATTTAAGTGTTATAATAGGATTGATTCGTTTTAAGTGGATTTACACTTTTAAACTTCAACGACTAATTCGCACATGACTTACACATTAAGAGATAAACATACACTTTTTCCTTTCATAAATAGCTCAAGTGGCGAATCTTAGCTTTTCCACCTAAGCAACACAATATACTAATCTTCTTAGCACCTATTTGGTATAAATGGAAAAGATGGTCTTTCATTTCCCACCTTTGCCTCACCTTGCTCTTTATTCCATGATGAGAGATAAACCTTATTCAAGTCACATGGTCACTTGTTTAATCCATCAAATTAAAACTAACACTAAACAAAACTGCTTGCAAATACTAGTAGACCAGAGGTGCACTCTCAAATCTAACAGCATCTGTACCTCTTACTGAATCCAATCTAATATTGATATGCTACTGAGCAGCATTTGTATTTCATATAAACCATGCAGCTTATATTCTCATTGCCATCACCATTTTCTTTGTATAGTGAAAATCCAAATCTATCTCATTGCTGAGTAAATATGATATCATGTCAACGATCAACTCTCTTAAAAGCATAAGCTGCAAGGCGAAGGCAAGAGATTGGTTTCACTTGCAAAATTATAAGGAAATCAACAGTTCAAGAAAGGGACAACTACATGATTGCAACCAGATAGCTGAAGTGACTGCTCAAAAGTTACAATATTAGGCACATTACTTGAGTAACTAACACAAAATTCAAATGATGAATAATTTTAACTTGAGAAAGAAACAGTGGCACCAAAAGCAATATCCATAGATATTTGTTGTATGTGAAAAATAAATAAGTGGAAGACCTGCTGCCACAAAATAACAGAAACTGAACTTCATCAGTTATACAAAAACATGAGAAGAAAATCAAATCTCCTAAAATAAAGGAAGCTCAATGAAACATAATATTATAAGATCTCTGATGAACTCTGTGTTCATCGGGTTAGAAACAATTGGAGCTCAGTAGTTTACAAATCACCTAATCTTGTTTAGAGTGGTCTTTTGCTCTTTTGATCTTTCAATTGATCCCATTTTCTGAAGCCTGATTTGAGCTTTGAACTTGGCTATAAATTCACTAGCTTTCTTATCCACCTCAGAATCCAGATCTGAATCATTGACATATTCAGGTACCCCATTTTCTTTTGAGCTCACCAGTGTATTCTCAAGCTCGGTATCCGAGTCTTGCTTAGACAAATTCTTGGATGGTTCTGATTTATGTCTCATACGATGATTGGAAAATTTAATCTCAGGCTTAGGAAAATAAGAATCCAGAGTTTTCTTACTGAACCCTTTCAATGGAAGATCCGGTTCTCCACTTTTGATTCTATCTTTTCTCAATACTGATTCAACATTATTAAGGTTCTTTTCGACCTGTTCATCAGTTTCCTTGCTGGATATTTCTCCTATTCTCATTGTCCCTGAAATTAGTCCATTGGATCTTCTTGTTCTAACTGATTTCCCTCTTGATGGAGTTTTCACTAAGCTTGCAGGCTTTTCTGAGTCTGACTGCGATGCATGCTTCCCTGACTCTTTATTGCCAGAGGGATCCTCACCTCCAAGCCCATTTAAACCCCTCAAGTCATCATTCAAACTACTCTTTATATCATCCTGGAGCGAGGAACCGTTATGTCTACGAGCCTGAAATGCTTGCAATGAAGCTTCCTCATTTCTCCTGCCCAAAGGTGATGGTGAAGTAGAAGAAGATCCATGTGAGCTCTTCTTTTCCCCTATATCTTCCTTCAGCAAGTTCATATTCTCCGGTGAAGCAGAATCCGGGGAAGAACATAAACTTGACTGAGATGAGAACGATCCCATAGACTGGAAAGACCGTGAGCTGAGTGATTCTTGTTGAGTTTCATCAACTGATATTGGCCTGAAATGCGAGGGATGCAAATCTGCAGCAGATTTTCCTTTAGAATCCATCATTCCATTTCTAGAAGACGACGCCTGGGAAATCTTCTTTCCTAAATCCATCTCTTGGAAATTCATATTTTCTGAAGCAGGCACATAGGAAGTCTTGTTTTGTTCCATATCTTCCTCTTGGAAATTCATAATTTCTGAAACAGGCACGAAAGAAGTCTTCTTGTGTCCCATGTCTATCTCTTGGAAATTCATAATTTCTGAAACAGGTACAAAGGAAGTCTTCTTGTGTCCCATGTCTTCTTCCTGAAAATTCATATTTTCTGAAGTATGCATATGGGAAGTCTTCTTTTGTCCCATATCTTCCTCTTGGAAGTCCATATCTGATGAAATTGAATCCAATGAAGAATACATTCTTGTGTGGGAAGAGAAGGATTTTACAGACTGGAAAGATTTTGAAGCAAGTGAGTCAAATTGAGTTTCATCAATTGACATTGGCCTGAAATGTGAAGGAAAAGAAGCAGCACCATACTTTCCTTTAGTTGCCATCCTTCTATTTCTCGATGAAGACCCCTTAAAAATCTTCTTCTTTCCCAAATCTATCTCTTGAAAACTTGTATTTTCAGAGGCGGGCGCATAGGAAGTGTTCCTTGATCCCATATCTTCCTCTTGGAAATTCATAATTTCCGAAACAGGCACAAAGGATGTCTTCATTTGCGCTACATCTTCCTCTTGAAAACTCATCTTTTCTGAGGAAGGCACATAGGAAGCTTCCTGCTGCCTCATTTCTTCCTCTTGGAAGTTCATATTATCTGATGAAATTGAATCCAACGAAGAATACATATTGATATGGGAAGAGAAAGGTGTTGTTGACTGCAATGACCCTGAACCAAGTGCTTCAAATTTAGTTTCACCAACTGAAAGAGGCCTATATTGTGAAGGACGGCTAACATTGCCATGCACTTTCTCCCTTTCACTCCTTCTATTTCTTGAACGCCATGGAATGGGGGAAGGCGATCCACCACCACCAGCATCATTTAATTTTTTCTCCAAATTGGAAGGACCCGTATCACCAAATTCCCTATCTCTACTTTCACCCAAGCTCCTAGAAGAACCCTTTGAACCTGAACTGGAATCACTTTCGTTGGCAAATTTAGAACTATCTACATCTCTAGCAACCGATCTCAAACTACGAATTGGCAGTCCTAGAGGTTTATAATCAACAGCCTCACCACATTCACCACTATTGTAGTTTGGTTGAGCCACAACCACCACTGGCTCACTATGATAGTACTCAGCATTCCAAGCTTGAACCACATTGGTTCCATTCCCATCCCATCCAACAGAATAACCAAAACTATCTTCAGAAATTGGAAAATGGGTTTTGTACTGTTCATCAAAAACACCAACAGCACTACCCCCATTGAAGGACTCACCCCCTAGCCCCCCATCAAAGTACTGAGGATTCCAACAGTGCATCATCATCATCCTCTTCTCATCAACCCCACATGGATTTACATTCTCACACCCATCATCAAAAATAGTGGAAGCAGGAAACACTTTGGACACATAACTAGGTGCATTAGCATCATCAACACCACTAGGGTGAGTTTCTATTTCTACGTGTGTGTCAAGTTCTGAATTTCTTCTACTAAACAAGCCATAGGTGACAGCAATGCCAATGAAAAGAAGGTGGAGAAGCTCCCAAAACTTGTTGAGTATGGTTTGGCTCACAAAGTCAGGGGCTTGTGAGGGAAACAGTGGTAGAACAACGAGAAACAGTGCCAAGATTAAAGCTTTGAGGAGAAAACCTGTGCAAGACTTACCTTGGTTGGTGGTTTTTGGCTGGATCCGTGGAGCAGGGAAATGGGGTTTGGTGTAGGGGCTGGAATCCGCCATTGATGAGTGTGTGGGGTGAGTCTCTTCTCTGCTCAGTGGTGTGAATGTGTTTGTTTTCTTGTGTTGTGTGAGATGAGAATGAAGAAAGGAAGACTTTGAAGACAAGGAAAAGTGCATCTGGGACAAACAATGGCGATAAAAGATTAAGGTAATTGTAGTAATTGTTGCCAACAAAGTGGAGCAGAATTCAAAAAGTGTCACTGTCAATCGCGACTGTTTGGTTTGAATGACGGTTTTGCCCATTTTTTCGGATGTTATTGGTTGGGCCTCCCTGGCCCAACCCAAATAAATACATTACGATTGAATGTGTACACAGATTGCCTCAGTTTGACCTTATTTTAAACAGCAATAAATAAATAACAGGCCATACTATATGCATACATGCTTAACAAATTATGAATGTGCTAAATATTAAATTTTGATTTTTTTTATTAAAACTAAAATTAAGAGTCAAATTCTTTAGACCACTTCTATTAAATTGTGTGACATTGGCAGGATGTTGAGCAGCTTTTAGAGAACAAGTAGTTGAAGAGAGAACATGATCGATGGAGACCATTTT